CTTGCTGACAATTGTATAATGGAGAGTGACGTCGAAGACAGGAGTGGAGCGGGACTGGGAGATAGTAGAGGAACTCTAACTACTTAAACTTATGTTTGCATGTAATAACAAGAAAGAAAGAAAGGTGGAAATTAAGCAACGATTCCGCAATGAAGTAATGTTTAACAGAATGGATGCGTGAATAAAATAGTGTTTGAAATTTATTAACGAAAACAGTAGGGAGTTTGGAGGGAGAGGGAAGTAATGCAATGGGCCACCGATTTGACAGAGTACATGATGAAGGTTGAGACGGAAAGGGTTAAATAGCGTCATCGACTGCATCATGTAGAAACTTCTGCTTTCCGTCATACCGTGTAGGATGTGCTACGTCGGATAGAGTTAGTACATATCTAAGTCATGTTTGCAAAATTTGCTGGTCTGCTGGCCCACTTTATTGTGTCTTACTCGTCTACACTTCAATTCATGGCACTTGGCTCCTCTGCCCTATCCCTCTCTCATTTGTGCGTTTGTGTGTCTCCAGGTAGTGACCCCTCGCCTAACATCGCTTTGTGCTTCTACTTGATTACTTTATATCGAATGTCCGTTAATATATTGCATGAAGTGCAGCAGGCGAAAAGGCAGCGATGTCGGCTGTGGTGTGTGGTGTGTTCATGGTGGTGTTGATGTTATTATGTGAAAATTCATGATTGCAAATGCATTAATGTATGTATAATGCAGCTATTCAGCCAGCAATTAGAAGCGCATTAATGTTACGATTTGCTTGTTGGTATATATTGTAATTTAAAAATTTTGGTTATAACCTATATTATTTATGGCAGCAGTGATCTTTTTGGTTACATTTTCTGTTATTTTTCTTATATCACTCTAGTATCAGCCTAACCTCTGTTCCTTCAACAACGAGTTTATGCTTATTAGAAAAAATTGTCCCACTTTTTCTTTTATTTTTTCTGCGTTATATTTTTCAATTTTCTGGCATCCCAATTTTGCTGATTGAAGCCAATTACATTTTGCTGCTAGTATGTCAAGCCTGATGCTCAACTACTTTTAACCTATAACAAAACCAAAATGATATCAATGTTCTTGGTTATTCTTTGAACTTGACTGAATACATGCTTGCTCCGAGTTTAGTGCGCTGCAAAGGTGATCGCTCACTGCGAACACTCACCACTTAGGCAGCATCTTATGCTCATGCTGACACAGAAGTGTACCAAATTACTTTTTTCTTCTCAGTAACGTCCAAACCATAAATAAGTGAAACAGCTATCTGATCGCTTTCTCCAGTTATCTCTGGAAAATATGCCTTTTGGGCACTGTCTCGTCTAAGCAGTAAATTTAAAAATGGATTTGTTGTGGTGTTTGGTGTTTGATTGCAATCTAATTATCTGTGCAGGATGGAGAAGCTAATATTTTAGCAGTGCATTTGTAAACCTCAAGTTTGTATAGGCAGCGTGTCGTTGCAATACTGCAGCCT